AGGAGGTAAGTGAAGCTTCCATCTACTCCACTGCCACTTGGGATCATCTAAAACAGAGATTTTAATCCTAATAATCTGGACTCAAAGTCTGTTCTCTTAATCACTATAGTGTCTTTCACATTTCATAAATAACTTATCTGTGCCCTTCTTTTCTTGTGTGGTGTCACATTTTCTATTACCCTAAAGGAGCCAATATCTTCCTGAGCTTTTCTTTTCTTATCATTTTTTTATAATCTAAGAAGAGGATTATTTTTAATCTTTAACTTCTTTATTGGTTAAGGTATTACAAATGTGTCCTTATTCCCCCATTAACCCCCAACCTCCCTCCCCAACCCCCTACTCATGCTCTCATCTCCTGTTGTCCGTGTCCATTGGTTTGGCTTATATGCATGCATACAAGTCCTTTAGTTGATCTCTTCCTCTTACCCCCACCCTCCCCTACTTTCCCTCTGGGGATTGATAGTCTGATCACCGTTTCTCTGTCTTTGGATCTGTCCCTGTTCATCAGTCTATGTCAGGGGTGGGCAAACTTTTTGACTCGAGGGCCACAATGGGTTCCAGCGTATTATTCCATTGTGTAGATGTACCACAGTTTTCTAATCCACTCATCTGCTGATGGGCACTTAGGTTGTTTCCAGATCTTAGCTATGGTGAATTGAGCTGCTATGAACATAGGAGTGCATATATCCTTTCTGATTGGTGTTTCTTTCCTTACTAGTAAACCTACTCTCAGCCCTAGCCATTATTGCTCAGTGGATAGAGCATCGGCCTGTGGACTGAAGAGTCCAGGGTTCAATTTTGGCCAAGGCCACATGTCCAGGTTGCAGGCTTGATTCCCAGGAGGCATGCAGGAGGCAGCCGATCAATGATTCTTTCTCATCATTGATGTTTCTATATCTCTCTCTCCCTCTCCCTTCCTCTCTGAAATCAATAAAAATATATTTAAAAATAAAACCTACTCTCAGAAAAGAGCTAATACATATGCTCATTCATTCATTTACATCAAGGAATAAATGACTGATATGGTTTAATATAAAATAATTCTACTTCAGGGTTGAGTTTTCATAGGGACACAGGGAATATTAAGGGGCCATAAAACCTTAACCAAAAACCTTGGTGAAATTGAAAGTATATATGGGCATGGGAGAACAAGTTAATTAGGTGCATGGCATTCTGCGCCCTCAAATTATACCATTATTTACTTGGCCCGAGCCTTGTAGAAATAAGGAACATAAATATGGAATGGAAAGAATAAGAGATACATCTTTATTATATTGATTAAATTATTTTAGAGATATCCTATTATTCCCCTAATTCATTGTCAAGTAAAGAGTTCTGATATAACCCCAAGAGACATAGCCCCAAGGGAAAGCTTTAACTTGGACCATCATAGGTGAAAGAGATAATCCCATCTAGGGTTTAAGTGTTTGTGCATTTACATATGAATCAAGGTAGAACCAAGGATTGATTTTTATTCCTAACAAATAAAACCCTCTCATGTGGGTGTATGATTATTTGCTCTAGTAATCTTAAACCTAGTACTGTTACCCTAGTGCAGTGATTTTCAACATTTTCATCTCATGGCCACAAACTACTAAACATCTGCAGCACATTAAAAGATACATTTTTTGTCTCTCTGACAAAAAAAAGTGTGATTTTTGATTCATTCACACTGGACAGCTATTGTAGTGGTGGCTGTTGTCATTTTTTTATTTGACAATAGGGGGAAAGAGGTCAATGCCCCTGACTAACTAGTCAGATATTGCATGTTTTAAAAAATTCTTGTGGCACAGCGGTTGGAAGAATCACTGCCCTAGAGTTATTTTTTATACCTCTCTTATTATTCCACATCAGTCAGTCCGTTGTGGACCAACATTCGCGAGAATAAGACCCCTGACTCCAGTTATGTCTTAAACAGCAAGCGAGGATTTATTGAACTGGCCAGTGACTGCCACAGGCTTTTTCCTCCTGCAGCAGCCCCAAGCTTGGTGCTCGGCGAGCTTTTATTCACAGAAACCACAAACATCCTTGATTTACAGTTACAAGGGTCTAATCAGGACCTTGACGCGCTGATGTCTGGGAGTGGGAGACTTGGAGTTATGCCTGGTTACCTATCCTTGACCCCCCATCCTTGCTAAAATTTTTTTACTGACATTCAATTCATCACAAGTCATCATTTCTTTCGATCTAGTTTCTCATGTATTTCTATCTAGTTTAGTTCAATGAACTCTATTGAATGCCTGCTTTATGCCAGATACTGTGCTCTGGGCATATAAGTACTCCTATCTTAAATTTCTAATTTTCTAGGAGAGAATATAGCATGATTCAAGCAATCATAGAAGTGTGTTTCAGTAGCAGTATACAAGAGGAATTACTTTGCTAGGGAAGGCAGAAAGACTTGCAAAGGATATGATGCCTGAATAGGGTTTTTAAGAATAGATAGGAGTTCTTCAGAATAATGATAGAGTAGCAACATATGCTAGCTAGAGGGCAAAGCATACACAAAGACATGGAAGCATAGCACAGTGTGACCTGGCAGCCATAGGTAATAGCACTATAGAATAGATGAAGTTTGAGTCAAAGGGTGGTGAAAATTATGTTTTTGCTTTTTGTATTGTCAAGAGCTTTATATGCCTAGACAGGGGCGGGCAAACGTTTTGACTCGAGGGCCACAATGGGTTCCTAAACTGGACCGGAGGGCCGGAACAAAAGCATGGATGGAGTGTTTGTGTGAACTAATATAAATTCAAAGTAAACATCTACACTAATAAAAGAGAAACATGGTAATTGGCGTATGACCGCTACCCTTGCCATTGGCTAATCAGCGAGATATGCAAATTAACTGGCAGCCAAGATGGCGGCCGGCAGCCAGGCAGCTGATGCGAACAGGGAAGCTTGCTTGCTTCAGTGACGGAGGACTCCAACGTTCCCCGCCTGACTTGCCGGCCTCTCAGCTGCAACTCTAAATAACTATGTTGCAAATATAGAAGCTAAAAAAACCCCAGAAACCTGCTTTACTCAGTGGGGCTTCAGCCAGCCGGACCGCAACATTGTATCAAATACAGACGGTAAACAAAGGCCAGAAACCTGTTTTCAGCAGCCGAGGCCTCAGAGCTAAAGCTGGCTCAGAATAAAAAAAAAGAAAAAAGAAAAAAAGGAGCGGTTGGGAGCTTCAGTCCCAGCCTGAAAACAGCCCTCACCCCCTCACCCAGACTGGCCAGGACCCCAGTGGGGACCCCCACCCTGAAGGGTGTGTGACCAGCTGCAAACAGCCATCATCTCCTCACCCAGGCTGGCCAGGCAGCCCAGTGGGGACCCCCACCCTGATCCAGGACACCCTTCAGGGCAAACCAGCCAGCCCCACCCATGCACCAGGCCTCTATTCTATATAGTAAAAGGGTAATATGCCTCCCAGCACCGGGATCAGCAGAGCCACGAGGCCTCCCGGCACCGGGATCAGCATGACAGGGGGCAGCGCCCCAGCTCTGTGTGTGACAGGGTGCGGCGCCCCAGCTCCTCT